AAGCATTTTCACAAACATACAAAAAGGACAGTATGAAATACACGAAGCCATACGAGCTCAAAACATATGTACATATAAATTTTCATAGTTGACTGCTTTGGAAATTTTCTCTAAACAAATGAATGTTTTTTATATAAAAAAATCGATAAAAATCAATGTATATCCAAAAACTGTACATTCTTTTTAGACGTTTAAGAACAAATTAGATAAAACAATTTGTAGTTGGGTTTGAACGTTTCCATTACCTTTTTATATCTACTGTTGCATTAGGAATATATGAAATTTTGGAATTTGATCTAAAGCTGGTCCATTATATAAAAATCAAAAACATTATGTTGTTTCTTATACTATTTATTATTTTGTTAATTTTTGTGAAGGAAACCTATAAATTTCAACATACATGAAGTTGGGGTACGGCGATCATGGTGAGTTTAAGGAACTTGTAACATTCCTCGGTGAGATAATTTTTACAGCCAATTTAGGGGATGGTGGGTACGGTAGCATAGGTTTACGTGGTAGATTCTAAAAGTGATGTTTTGTTTATTTTTATGTTGGTATCATATAAAAGGTGCAGATGAATGATTCTGAGCAGCACGGAAAATGGCGTATGCTTTATGGCGAGAGAGTTAATCACCAGTCTTATCATAACGTCATCGCTAATATTTTTAAATTCCAAACAAAGCCAGATCATGAGTCGTCAAAAATCAACCGTATTAAAAACTAAAATCCTATATTATGCCTATACCCAAATCAATTTATTCAACTTTTCCTTTCTATAAGAAGTCAGTATATCTGAGACTGGAATTCAAAAAATGGTGTATGTTGATTTTTATACGTTTACTATAAGTGTTGATCAATGGGTATTTTTCACGATCATCAAATTCAGCTTTACTGCGAAAAAAATTATAACTAAACCTATTCCGTTAATTTTTTTTCGTATTATAACGACTATAAAGAATTAAATATACTCACAAAACCAATATCAAAGGGAAGATGGCCTATCTCAAGGAAGCTGCATTTCTGCATAATTGGTCCCATTCTGGCTGTCTTATGCGTGTTCGAACAAACGTTCGCATTTTTATTGTTGTCTCTTTTGGCACTGCTTGGATTCTGTTTTTGACTCAGGATCCCAACGATGCATCAAAGTCTCGTCGTCCATCACAATGTGTGCCAAAAAGTCAGAATTGTCAGTACAAGTTTCCAAATGAATTTCTGAAATTTTAAAGCTGCGCAATTTTTGGTCGATGTCAACAGTCGTGGAACCCATTTAGCTGACACGTTACACATGTTGCCGTGCAAGATTATTCAATGCCATGCTGATGGTAGAGATCTTTACATGACGATCTTCGAGAACCATAGCTTAAACTTTTTGAGTCATTTCATCATTTGTTGCTGTTCTGGGTCTTGCACTTCTGGGATCGTCTTCTATATGGAGTTACGATTGAAACTGTTTCGACCATAATTTTATTGTGTAATATCAAGAAATGTTACTCATTATTCTTCACAATTCACTTTATAAATAGGAAGCTAATTATCAAAATTAACACAAATTATGATTCTACGTTTTAAATGTTTTTTATAGTGTTTCTTGTAGTATGATTGCATTCATGTTTACGAGTGTCGTCTGGCTTCCCCAAAATATAGATCAGCACTTAACTGCCTCACGCTTTAAGACAAAAGGGTTTTAGAGGGTTATGGGTAGCGATGGAAAACGTTAACCTTATCACGTTAATTAACATTTAAACACTGATTTAACTGCATGGTTAACGTTAATGATAATTCAAACGTATACCGAAATGAGATCACCTATTTTCAAACATTACTCGTTTCGTTATTTATTTTGAGTTCAAAAATACCCATTGAACATTTGCTTTTGATTCTTGATGTATTTTATTTAAAATGTTAGATGTCTTTGTATAAATTTTTATGTCTATGACTACTAGTGCATCCAATGGATGTTTTGACATACATATCGACACTTATTCTTCAGTTTTACTTTTAAAAAGTATTAAAAAGTGTAGACAATAAAAAGTTGTGACATTTCTTTCTCATTACATGTTTTTTGTAGAAACTAAATGGTGTTTACGCTTACGACCGGTATGATCATAGTTGTTGTATAATGATGAGAAAAGTGTATTATTTAATGTGTTGTTTGTTCATTTCCTTCTGATTATTACTGAACCGATTGTTTTGAACCAAAGAAATGATATAGTTTTAGACTGTAGCTTATTAATGAATAATAGCTGGTATTAAAATCATAAACCATAGAAGATTTGTTTCATTCTTCTTTCCCAACGTTCGAATTTATTTTTACATACCTCAGCATCCTTGAAGATGAAACAATACCTACTCCACTGCTGTATTATGCTACTATGGCTGCTATAAGAAAATTGCATGGCATTTTTTATGTATAAAAATTGCAGAATTAAAGCACGAATTTACAGGGCATTTCCAAAAATGGGTCAAAGTTCAGGGGGGGATTATTTGGGCTATTCTAAGGCTTTTTCAAATGGCCCTAAAAGATGCGACTGGAAATAGGTTTCTCTCAAATAGCTTATGATATATTCCATATAGATCCGACCAGCCAAACCGACCGAACACTTCGGCTGGTCGGAGTCCAGATCACCGACGACTTGATCTGGCACGAATACACACACAGTCAATAGCCGCAGCCTTATTGCTTACGGCTAAGAAGTACTTTTCTCCGCATGACCTCCTCACTCTATGCAAGTCCCAGATAAGACCTAGCGTCGAGTATTGCTCACATGTTTCGGGTGCTACCGCCTCGGCTACATTATTTATGCTCGATGCTGTCCAGAGGAGGACTGTCCAACTGATCGATGACTCTTCTCTAGCAGACAGTCTTGGGACCCTTTTGCACCGGCAGGCCATCGGCAATCTAGCTCTCTTATACCGCGGGCTTCGCTCCATAGAGCCCTACTCCATGATGCCGCCGCCTGTACCTGCTAGACAGACCCGCCTGACTTCGTACATCCAGAACTGGCTGATACGAGGGCTATTTTGTCTCGAGATTGTGGAACAATCTACAAGAGGAGGCTTTACCTAGTTCTACTAACCTCAGGCAGTTCAAGACTCGGATTAACAAAATTATCTGGATCTTTATAGCCGCCGCAGTGTCCCGGCATTTAGACTTCTGTCTGCGCGGCTACTTCGGTGTAAAAAAAACGTAATCCAATAAAAATTGGATAGCATAGTAATTAGTTGATGTCCTATAAGGCAGTGTTCATGAAACACAATGCATTCATTTAGTTTGCCAGGGATGGACTATCCCTAGTGCTGTAGGTCTATTTTTTTACACGCCGTATAATAATAGTTCACGGGTAATATTTCTAGAAGCATGTGGCATGTAAGGCTGATTCAATTCCTTTTTCGCCTTGTCTGCAGATCAGGCCTCCATCATGTAGCCTATTTTGAGCAAATGTTGTTTCAGGCCATTGTGTCCTGAAGGCCCGTACCGATTGAGAGCACCGTATTTGTTCCATGCATGCATCGAACCACTAAGTGGCCATATCCCTTGTACTGTGCTTACCCATTCTTTGACTTGGTTCCTTATTGCGCTTTGAACATCGACTAAAGTGACAAATACGTTTAGACATTGATCCAGAGTTCTGCGGTACCTACATCCTCAACCAACGGTATCCAAAATCATTCAAAATGGCGATGAACATTTTATAGGATGAAGAAGTACAGGAGCAGGTGTACAAAATTTCATCTCTCCATACAATGGCAGCCTTTTTGAAAGCACAATAAAATGCGATTGGTTGCTTCCGAAAATGCGAGAGCTAAACTGTAGAAAAAATAATCATGGAGAATGGCGAATCAAAATACAGTGAAACCTATGTAACGAAATACATAGGGACCTATGATTTTTGACTATCTATGTTTTAGACGATTTTTACTTACTCAGGGACCCGAACAGATAAGTTTGGAATGACCGATTATATAGGGTCCCGCTAAAAGATTGGAATGTACGGTTTTACTTCCACACCAATTGGCGAGGAAGTATTGTAATCGCGAAGAATTTGGAAATGAGATATTTTGTTGTTTGGATGTTATATGACATGTACATCACGAAAAACCATAAACTCATTTCCGTCGATTAGTCTGTCCGCTAATCCTCGACCTTGACTTGGAGGTACCGGGATGATTATGATGAAATTTTCGTACAAGGTGCCAAAGACAAAAAAGCCGTGTAGGTCTTGAAAATCGAGCAAATAACTGTGAAGAAAAAACGAAAAAATAAAAATTGCTTAAACTTCGTTTTTTGATGTTTGAAAGGGTCCTGATCATATTCAAAATTTTTTGTACAGGTCGACATGTATGGGTTTGGGAGTTGTAGGGGGTGAGGGAGGGTATATGACATTTTATTTGATCTTGGTAGCATATAACCCAACCCCGGTAATGCACGTATCAGCCATATTTCACACATCATAGATTTAGCCATACATTCGCGTGTAAAACTTGATGGTAGAGAAATGGTTTCGATCCGCGTACTTCTGCCTATCTATACTCACCGCCTAGCGAACCGATTCGTACTGAAGCACAAAAAACATATACAAGATCCTTGCACGAAACGCAGATGTGGAAAAGGACAATGTTACCACATAGACCTGTAACTACCAGTAGGGCAGGGAAAGAATATCTATGGACTACTTGTATGGGCCGGTTTGACTGGCTTAGTACGTAGAATTTCTCTGTAGTACATGTCCGTAACTGACTTTTTGCTCAGAGGATTTAAATTGCGCTGAGCTTGATCCTTTATGAACTGATGACGGCGTTGCGTAGGAAGTGCAGAGTCAACCCAGCTGACGCCATTTTTTAAATCACATTTAAAGCGTATTACTTCAATGTCGAAAATTCAGACGCAGCACTTTTTAGAGATAAAATGCCTACAATGCCTTGCCTAAAGCCGGCTATTTATAAAAGGGGATATCAATTCGGCAACTTTCGGACATGTTCGTGTGTTGCTCGGCAACTCGGCGGCGACAGTCGGTGCACGGTTGGGACTGCGTTGGAACGATCGACCAGCTGTGCGACCAGCCACAACGACAAAGAGACGACAGGCCGTGCAACGTGCCTACAACCAGTATTTATCAAACAGTTGCTGAACAGAAAAGGTCGCTTTCACAGCACTGTCGACTGTATACTTGTTTGTTCTGTAGCTACTGTGACTACAAAGTGAAGATTCGGTAAGTTATTCTTTCTATTATATCATCTATACTAATTAAATTGCGTAGATATAACTTTCTGCAATATACATACAAGGTATGGTTAATAGCCTGGAAACGGTCAATACCCAGGAAGTAGAAGTGCGATGTTCACCACATGTCGAGCCGAGCAGGGTGACAACAGATCGGACGACACTGGCTCAGCTGTTGCCAGATTCACCATTTTATCGGGAAAGTTACTACTGTCTTAACATTTTAATTTTATTTTTCATAAGGTAGCAGGAAAATCCAAATAATGTATTCTATATGAAGGTAGTCAACCATATACTGTATTCCGACGCCCAAAAATGGATCTGAGATATTCTGGCCACCATCAATGAGACAGTAGCGGAGCACCAAAATGAATTTAGAAATTTACTTTTAAAAGAGTTAGTGTTTGGTTCTGCTACTGCCCCATAGATGACGCTAGGATCTTCAGTCTTGTTTACTTCCTTTGCCTATTAGCGAAGACGTGATTGCGAAAAATTCCAATATTGAAATGTTATGTTTTTTTGGATATTATATGGCATGTAGATCACGAAAAACCATGTCAGTCATTTGCTTCGGTCTGTCTGTCTGCCAGTCTGTGCGTCTGGCCTCTCTATAACTTGGAAAGTACCGCTCGGATTTCGATGAAATTTTCACACATTGTTACTAGTATGCCATAGACAAAATGCTTTATAATTTTTGAAAATTGCTCCAGTAGCGGCGGAGCGAGGGGCAAAAGAAGAAAAAAATAAAAGTCGCATAAACTTTGGTTTTTGATGTTTCATAAGCTCTTAATCATTTTTGGAAAATTTTTTGTATGGGTTAAAAATTGGTCGTTAGGCGTTGTAGGGGATTGGGGAGTTTATATCGCAATTTTTTGACGTTGGTGTATTTATACGCCTCCATCCCCAGTAATACTACACCCCTCTTAAGCATACGTACATTTACCCTTAAATCTCCAACACCCGCGTGTCAATGCATGTGAAGTGGTCTACCGATGGACGAGCGTCGTACGTCACAGTCGGCAATCGCTTCCGCACTGCTGTGGGCTGTGCATGGAGAAAGCCAATATCATCATGCACGCGGGATTGATCACTGCAAAGATCATGTGCGCCTGCGGAAATTTCTCTTAGGAGGAGGAGGATGGCCGTTCAATTTTTTCTTATATATGTTTCTAGCTAACTTTTTCTTAGAAGGCGTAACTTGTGCCAAACACAATCCTTCACGAACTCATGACACCGTTGCATTGGAACTACAGAGTCAACTTACTTGACGCCATTTCTTGATTAGATATCTTGAGGTGAAATGTGTTAATCAATATTCCGAATTTTCAGATTACGGAGTCGGCGATTCTGCTACGACCTAGCGGGCGGATTATTTATTAATGCGTGAATTCTGTCACAATTACGGAAATCGGGTGCATAGACATTAGGAATCAGAAATTAACTAACCTATATAATCAAAATGCTTTTTATCTGGAAAGTAAATATATTATGATGCATGTCTAGGGCACCCTAAACGCCCCCATCTTACAGAGGTTGCGACGTGGGAAAGAAAAAATTATGTCTTATCCACAATTTAATGCAAATTTTTAGGTCCCACAAACAATAAATTCTTAAGCGCCAAATCATAAGATCGTATGGTTAGGTGATGATAGCATGCTTCCTATTTTTGACTATCTGGATTACATCTGCAACATCTGAGGCTTGGTAGATACGGTCTTCTAAGGCAGAAAATCTTGAAACACTAAAATCGTCTTCAGCTATTAAGAATTTAATAATTTTTAAAAAAAATAGTGTCAGGCATTCAAATGGTGCCTATATTCAAATTTTCCATACGGACAAAAAGCAAATTTTTTACACACAAATGCTGTTTATCATTATACTACTTTCGAGACGAGCTGAAGCTGTCTTGACTTTTGCTCTCATTTAAACAATTTTCGAAGATGAAATAACGAAGGAAGTATTATTACTCACTATGACCCAAAACATGCTGCTCCCAAAATTTCACCCAAATCGGGGCAGCTGTTTCCGAGATTACCAGAGTAAAATAACGGCAACACAAGCGGACCGACGAGTAAGTGATGTGGGTTTACCTTTTGTAGACGTCTTACGGGGAATCTATGAGTGAAATATGCTTGATATATGCGCAGAACTACCAGGCTTAGAAGCGTTTAAATATATTATTGAGTTGCACCTCTACAACATCCCACTCCCAATTTTTTACCCGGTGGAAATTTTTCAAAAATGATATGAAGTCTGAAACGTCAAAAATATCAGTTTGATCGATGTTTTTGCTTTTTGACTTTAGATTCGGTGCCATTAGGTAACGACTATGCCAAGAACAACAAATCATTGTTTTTTCTTAAAGCAGACAAAAAACAAAAGAAAAATTGCTCAAACTTCGTTTTTGATCTATCGGAGTCTCCTGATCAGAAAAACATTGTATCGGTTAAGAATTGAGGGTTGTAGGGGTAGAGGAGGGTAGAATATGTCAATTTTTTGGCTTTAGTATATTTATAGGCTTCCAGTCCCGGTAGTTCTTGGTGCATACTTGACATATTTCATGCATCAAAGACTTCCCCGTACATTTGTCTTTAAGACTTGAATGATGGGGAATAACCAAAGTACGTATTTATGGTCTGCTTCGAGTTCTTACTTATCTTATGTCTTACCGATTTCAGATGGTCGGTACTTTCGGTACAGCAGGGAACGTTTTTAACACGCTTTTATTACCTTGGCCTGTATGTATGTATGTAAGGGAATCTTTGATCACAATTTCCACCAATTTCCAAAAGTTTGATTAATTTGAAACCTCACACACGTATCAAGGACCAATGACTATACAATAATTTGATAACAGTCTTCCATTATCTTTATAAAAAAATCTGTAAAAAGCAGATATGTTAATAAAAAGCCACATATTTCAAATGCCGGCTTACGAATAGTGAAAGTACAAGCCTCTGTACCTCAGTGGCAGAGCACTGGCGTTGTGAACCAGGAGTCGTGAGTTCAATCCTCACAGGAGGCAGATTGTGGTATACCTTTTTTATATTTTAACACGTTTTTATTAGCTGGACCTGTAATATATGTATCTATGTATGTATGTGTAAGCACCGATCACAATGCAATATCATGACATGTCCACAAAAAACTTATTGATAAATCGAACGAGAAAATGAAAAATAAATAATGCCTTAACAAAACTAAAAGTTTATGTGACAGTAGTAGATGGTCGAACAATCATTCATAATTGTATAATATAATAAATATTTAAGTTATTTATTAACAGAATAATCCAATTCAGGGTAAAAAGCGTAGTGTTACTACATTTTCATAACTCTCCTCTCATACATAGTTGCTAACAGAATGATTGTAACATTTAATATATCAAGCACCCCCGCTTTTCACTCTGAATTGAATTATTCTGTTAATAACTTAAATTTTATTAGAATTTTATTTTGAGGTCATTAATTCTGATTGATTGCTCGACCATCTACTACTGTAATATAATCTCTTTGTAATTAATAATTATTTTCTAACTTTTAGTTCGGTTAGCTAAGAAAGCGTGTTTTTTTAGTTTTTTTAAAATATTATTTATTTTTTTACGTCGCAACGTTGTGAATGGCAGCGTTGCTTGGGAAGTGCAGAGTCAATCTACTTGACGCCATTATTTATTTATTGTAACGCAGTATGTTTTATGTTAGATTTGGAGTGTTAAGTGTTGCGACCTTGCGCGCAAATAAAAGTAGTAAGGTGTCAAAATTGGACTTTTAAGAAAGAGAAGAATCCAGTACTAATATAAAGTTGCAAAAATATAGTTATCTTGGGAGTCGAACAATCGCCTTATAGACAGTCATCCTTCCAACATGATTGCACGCTTCAACCGTCAGGTATTTTTACCTTAAACAAATTTTACCTGACGCGTTAATACATATCTCTCCATTTGTGTCAGAGCTCGCATACGCCCCACACAGTAGTTAGGTATATTTCCACCAGAAGTACACGACTGTATTATTTGATTATAACTCAGTTGTGCTTGATTAGTTGAAGATATTACGAAAATTTAGCGGGTAGCAAAATCAATGTATAGCGAAAGGGGCAACAAGTTATTAGTTGTGAATGATTACATGTTTTCAAAGGCGAACAACAGTAAATGTGGGAAAATCCGTTGGAAATGTTACAATTGCAAATGCCAAGCAAGAGTATACTCCTTTCAGATGCAGGAAGGTACAGCGATTGAAGAGGTAGGGTCGCACAACCACCTCAAAAATCCATCGCTTGCTTGACAAATTATTAGCGGCAGTGTCAAAAAGAAGGCCGCCGAGGTGGTCTATACAGAACCTTCAGAACTGATTGAAGCAGAATTGAAAATCTTTGGAAGAACTTCAAATTGGTGATATTCCCGAGTTTGAACATAAACTGAGTCACAGTAACCGTTTTGTAGGTTCTGATGAATCATAGTCCAAGGGGCACACATACATATAAATATTATACTACACAAACACTACGAGAAACTTAGCTTTGTATATTATATAGTTACAGGTGGAACCAAAAGAGATGATGCTGATGAGGACTTACATGGACCCACAAACAACAATGCAGTTGATTGAGGGTCTCCATGCTGCAAGATGTTTGTGGGACAAGAACTCGGATGAATATCAAGATAGGTACATGAAACAGCAAGAATTGGAGAAACTTGCTTTTCAATTCAATGCCACAGTCGAAGAAATCACCAAGAGAATTAAGTCATTAAAAACACAATTTCGAAGGGAACACAAAAAAATGCTGAGTATCATGAATGATCCCAAAAAAAGCCATCTTAGGAGGAATACTTGGTTTGGATATGAAAATCTGATGTTTTTGTTGGATGGCGAAGCAGTCAAGGACTCCAATTCAAAACAGGTATACTACCTCACACTTTGCAATCAAGTAGTTGTATCACATCTCAAATAAACACGTAACCTCACCATCGCTAGATGGAGAGCCCTACTGTTACTAGTAATTCGGAAATTTCTTTCCACGAACGCGCATGCGATGTAGTAGTTATCACCTTCGTATTTTTCCTCTTTCCTAGCATGCGCAGTCGTAATTGAAGAAACCCGATAACGCTTGCGTGATTGCAAAACTGGATGGATCTGATATAGTTTAAATTGAACCTTAACTTTGCCACGTTCAAGTTGTAGAACGCATAAAAACGGGGTGCAAATCATGTGTCTCACGATACAAACTCTACCTTTGGTTAAAAGAAGCAATATATTCTAAACATTATTTCATCAACTGATTGGGCTTGTGAAGGTTTGAAATGCTTTGCGGCTCTCGACTGGTAGGAGATTATATTTGTTTTGTTATTAGTTCAGTGACTATAATCGTTTGAGCTTTAGGAAATATTCCCTGTATTTTTATTGAATCACTTCAGAACGTAAACAAACATCTGCTCCTGACCACTCTTTGATCTTTGCTATAGGGAGAATCGGATGAAGAAAACGGAATTGAAGAAATTAAAGTTGAATGCGACCATGTAGAATCACAAGAACAGTATTCCAATGAACAACCATCTACATTTCAAGATATGATTATAGATCCACCGTCGACATTCCACAACGTCCTTGGAGTTAAAAGGCCATCACAACAGTTCGAAACGTCCTATATGACTCCAAGCAAGTTTATGAAATTTGATAATTCATTTCGTAGTACCCCCATTGCCCAGGAAGACAGCTTGGATCACTTTGGAAAGTATATTGCATCTCTGTTGAGAGGCATGCCACAAGACAGATCCTCGCAACTTCAAGCGGACATAGTTGCAATGATTTTGAAACCTCAGTCTTCTGTGCCTCAGTCTTAGCAATAAAATATTTTTAGCAGTTGTCTGTTTTACTGAGAATCACCCCGCTCTCAACCTAGCAAATAACTGAAACAACATGTGTTGATAGAGAAAATTTTATTTTTTCGACTTTACTGGAAAACACTATTGACCTGTGTTAAAATCCAATATGGCGTCTATAAGTAAAAATAACGTTCATGATTGAGAAGTTCTCAGTATACCGTCTTTACTTTTTTTGAAATGCCATCTCGAATAAAATCAGGAAATTCCTGTTTTTTCGTCTATCTCCGTAAGAACTTGGAATAATAATAATAATAATAATACGTTTGTTCCCAACAGGTTTAACCCATGAAGCCATGTTGATTACTGACGGCTCCTTCAATAGAGCAGTAAATGTTATCATACAGGGTGTAAACGTTATGGTAGTCATTATTGAAATGGGTGATAGAGGGGTCAAAACAAGTCAAAAAGTTCATATGACCCATGGTCCAAAAGTCAATAGATGTTTGTCTAAATGGCTTTATAGTTTACAACTTTAAGTGCTTTATATCGACCACAATCTTACTAATTTTTATAATCTAATCTAAAACGTTTTTAAATTGGGTAATTAACAAATAAATGGCATTAAGTTTTTCTAGGTTAAGCCAAAATTTATAGTCAGCAAGAGAGCAAGTTTCATTAAATTGAATATTTAAAACACACTTGACAACAGCGCGTCGGTCATCATCATTCCTATTGAACCGGCAATCGATCGCAAACGGTAACAGTGGTTAGTTATCGTCGAACATCTGACAATACCTGCTATGTGCAGGAACCGTAATTTTACAGGGGACGAAAAAACCTTATCCATTTTACACTACCGGCCTTAAGACTCTACAACTTTGGTCACAAAAAATAAATGACATTTAACACATATTTAATGCGTTTTTATCTAAATGAAGCTCTAATTGACAAAATTACTGCAGATAGTTGACAGTTCTGCTAACTTTCTTTGCAGTTAGCAGATATTGTACTATGACGCATAGATGGATTTAGGTTTTAGAAAAACTGTTATTCATTATATCAAATTAAAAGTTTAATGCTTTTACAAATCAAAAAGATAGTAGCATTCTCAGTTACACCTTAAATGAACGTTCAGCTTCTTTTCTTGACATATGGCAAATTGTCGTAAAATATGTGACAGTCCTTATAGATATAAGACTTATAATCTGAAATGACGGGTAGCTGTTTTGGTCTCATAGGCAAATCATGAGGCTCTGAAGTCAAGTTTCACTCCAATTTTTCCATCGGGATTATAATGTAGGCAGGGACACCGTGACTACAGTGTCCCTGCCTGGTCTAACTGTTGAGTATCGCTGCACCTCTGTTCGAGAGTAGTCCTTGAAGAAGTCGTAACTCAATTGGATCACCTCATATGGCTCTGGTTTTGTCCAGCTTCTTTTGACGCCTTAACATGGTCATTTGGTAATTCAATAACGCTATTTCTCAGTTTTCTTTAAATGCAGACTCACATTCCATTTGGGTGTGTCCTTTGGGGAAATATTTCTGAGAAATCACAACGTCGTGTTTCATTGCAAAGAAAAATAGCACGCGTAATTGTCACATAGCTGGAATTGCCGCTCATTGACAGTGTGGTATTGTTTTGGCTGAATAATTCAAAGACATAAATTTTTCTGCAGTTAGCGGACTCTATCATAATGTGCGCTGTAGGTAGACGAAGAAAAATGTGCATAAACCTCAAATTGGGCTAACATGTCAGATAGCAGGTATTGTCAGATGTCCGACGTTATCCTTTTGCATAGTTTTGCGGCGTTGTCAGATTTATTTTACTTTAAAGTCGATTTTCTCCAAAAAAATGGCGTTTTGACCCCCATGTTATATGAAACTTTTTGCTGCTATTAACCTCATCTATCGCCCATTTAAATAACGACTATCATAACGTTTACACCCCGCATAAGATAATTTCGAATAGTTTTACGAAATTGCAAAGGATGGCTATTTGACGGTAGTTTGAAATGTCAGATGCACGACCGCTTTTAAAAATGGGTCAAATTTTAGTCTTTCTCCAAATTGTCGGGTATATACAAGATTTTAAAATTAAGTTAAAAATGACAGATAGAGGTGCAGTCTTTAACTAAGAAACTGGGATTATTGTATTCGGAGTCATTTTATTTCTAAATTTTTTAGATGCTTTAATAATGTATTTTTCGGTAATATGACATAATGAAATGATGTTAGGATTCGAATTTACGTTTGTGTTATTTGACGTACTAGACTGTACAAATACACTAGCAAAATGATGCGCAAAAGGATTGACTATATCCTCAGGGGTATCATAGTAGAACATGGATCCAGGAATCCTAGAGTGCACTCTTTTACAATTCACAAATGCCCAAAGTTTATATGGATCGGAAGCAATGCTGTCCTCAACATTTTGTATGTATGCTGAGTAAGCGGTTTTAATCTGATTTTTGAGGGTAACTTGAACTTGGTATTATAGACATCATTACCATACTTTATGTGGTTCGTTTTTGCTCTGTCCTTTTTTCTGATGTTTAATATTATGTCACGGTCGAACCATGGTGGATATTTATTTGATGCATTTCTGTACTTAGGTACGTAGTCCTCCATAATTTTAGCTAGTTTGGAATACAAAATATCACATGCGAATTGCGAAACTTTCAAAGCACTTTTACCTGATTGCACAGCTTCGCCCCCATTTAACCACTCCGTATCTCTTACCATTTCCGTGATGCCAATGGTGAAAGTGGAATTTGAAATCCTCGGTATATATTTTTTGTGAACGGACTCATTGTAAAGTTTCAGCCTTACCCTTTATTGAGGAAATTTCATCTGGAAAATTATGAATACACGTATCCAACATCTACTGAATCGCCAATGTATCGGTACCGCAGCTCCAACTCACTGTAACATTTTATGTGAGACACAAAAGTTTTGTCGCTTATTGCAGCACGCTTCGTGTCATAAAGCCATGTAATTATTGAAATTCCACGGTCGGAGTATTTGAATGGTCTGACATCCATTCTTTCTTTTGTGGTAAGTGGTAAAACAACGGTATAAAATATAATATATCTGCGACAGCTGAAACTGAATACAATATACAGGGGTATGGAGGAATTCAATTACTATAGAAAATATAATACATTTTGACGTAACGATATCGCTATTTCGTGATCAGACATACATTACGACGCTGTAAACGGTGTAGCGTGGGGGGGGGGGGCATAGTATCCGGCGGCATACGGAAGAGGGGCGACAAACGCAGCAATTTTTAAACCAGAAATCAAAAAATCCTATTGAAAACCTGAAATGGTGTCTACTCTGATAGTTCATTGGAATTAATATGTAACACAAACTGCGTTTCTTATCGCTAAATGATGTCACCAATACCTTACAGAATTTTTTATACCGTTGTTACTGTTTTCGGAAGCCCATCTCCCGCGTCTGATCATACGTTTATACATATAGGCTTATTTGTACCTCTAGTGCTTGTGACATGGGAAAAATAATTTCTATTTCGTATGATGGTTATTTAATGTCATGGGCTTCTAAAAAATAAACATTTCTGCACTTTTTGATGAAAAAAATATGGTGCAAAACATTTCGTACCAAACTTGGAGTGACTTCGATCATTTTTGTTTTTAAGTTTTACACCAAAATAGCCTAAATAGTTTTAGCAAATTTCCCCGAAATAATTGTAAAGTCTGATTTTATTGGTTCAAGTTGTTCACGGAGGTATTCAAAACATGGACGTATAAAATGGGTACACCAATTTTTGTGGGAAAACTTTTTATTAGATAACAAAGAATTAAAAATCGTGTTTTTTTGGGATTCAATCGAAAGTGTTGAAAGGAACGAAAAAACTTTTCACATGAGATTTTTAGGTATTTATGAGACACCTACAAAATGAGACCAACGTAAAAAGATCCGACTAATAGCAAAAATGTTATGGCCGGAAAACGAGGCAAAATGAAGGTTTTGGCATTTGTTGCTAATTTGACGATAATTTCACGCAACTTGAAATTCTTCAAATCCGTAAAATTGATACTTCTAAATAATATCTACAAAATTGGAGTATATTGGTCGAGTAGTTTTTTGAGAATTTCCAATTGTTCATCCCAAAACACCTGTTTTCCGGTTATCACTACTAGGTTATTAAGCAATATACAGGGTTCATTCAAAGAGCATTTAATAGCAAAATACACGTGCTTACCTTGCCGATATGAATCACAAACCACTCTGAAAGATAAATGTTATTTTTATGCGAAAAACAAAGATTACGGTTTTTTTCTTCTAAACAAATTCAAATATTTCGTATTGTTGAGGAATTGAACGAATAAATATGCTACGATATTCGAAAAACGTACGTTGCTGTACACATTTTAAAACAAAGCGAATGTGTCTATCATCTTTTGTTGCGAATTACTCACAAGTACGAAATGTTTGAATTTGTTTAGAAGAAAAAACGTAACCCATCCTTTTTTACATAAAAATAACATTTATCTTCCGGAATGGTTTGCGATTCATATCGGCAAGGTGAACTCGTGTATTCGTGTATTTCGCTATAAAATGCCATTTTAACGAATCCTGTATATTGCTCAGTAAACTAGTAGTGATGGCCGGAAAACAGGTGTATTGGGATAAACAATCAAAAATTCTCAAAAACTGCTTGATCAAACGACTCCAATTTTGTTGTGGTTATTTAGAAGTACGAAACCTAGGAATTTGAAGAATTTCAAATATCTGCGAGAAACCATTACCATTACCAACAAGTGCCAAAACCTGCAGTTTGCCTCGGTTTTCGGCCATAACTTTGTTGCTATTAGTCGGACCTTTTGACGTGTGGTCTCATTTTGTAGGTCTCATAAATACCTAAAAATCTTATATGAAGGGCTTTTTCGCTCCTAACAACACTTTCGATTGAGTTACAAAAAACACGTTTCTTCATTATTTGTTATCGAATAAAAAGTTTTCCCACAAGAATTTGTGTACCCATTTTATGCATCCATGGTTTGAAAA